GTGTTCCTTCTTTCTTATGTTCTTATGTTCTGCCTGCCTGCTTACCCAACCCTGTCCTGCACTGCCTGCTCTGGCCTATTCTGTCCTGCCCTGCCTGTTCTGGAATGTTCTGCCCTGTTCTATCTGTTCTGTCCTGTTCTGCCTCTGGCCTGTCCTGTCTGCCCTGCCTGCTCTTGCTTGTCTTGTTCTGCTATGCCTGCTCTGGCCTGTCCTGTCTTGCCCCTGTCTGCTCTTGCCTGTCTTGTCCTGCCCTGATTGCTCTGGCCTGTCCTGCCCTTCCCTGCCTGCTCTGGACTGTCCTGTCCTTTCCTGCCTAGACTGCTCTGGGTTGTCCTGCCCTGCCTGCCTACCTTGCTCTGTATGCCCTAGCCTGCTCTGCCTGCCTACCTTGCTCTGTATGCCCTAGCCTGCCCTGCCTGCCTACCTTGCTCTGTATGCACTAGCCTGCCCATCTTGCTCTTTATGCCCTAGCCTACCCTGCCTACAATGCCTGCCTGTCTTTAACCCTTTCAGGGTCCAAAGGTAAAATCGGAAGGGGTGCCCCAGTGTCCAAGAAATTTTTGAAAAAAAAAAAAAAAAAAAAAAAAAAAAAAAAAAAAAAAAAAAAAAAAAAAAAAAAAATCTTACAGAATTAAAGAGTATATTTTTGTGAAGGTAATAAAACAAAAAAAAATTCTGATCAGTACTTACCAAGATACAGAAGCGAGAAGTTGACCCAAAATGACCGGGTGGCGGCAACATCGGCAATTTCCACAAACTCGCATTTCTTTATTTTACGTTTTTTATACTTTTTTCTTTTCTTTTCTAATTTTTTTCTTTTTCTAGTAACATTTGTGGCCTGTGAGACCAGTAATGTATATATATACACTCACTGTATTGAACACAATAACTGCACTAAAGTTATTATAATATTGTTTACCACTTTTGTTTATTACAATAAACATGCACAAATCTTGTATAATTGTACTAATGTTCTATTATATATTTACATACGTACAATCACTGTCTTTGCATCTTTGTTGCCGTCTTTTTGTTTGTGCACAGACAACACATCTCTTCTGAGTGAATTTCTTCTTAGTTGCAGGAAGCTGTATTAACAATGTGACATCTCGTTTGTCATGCCACCATAATGCCATGATGTCATTGGCAGTAAACAACTGCACTTCATCACCATGAGTGCCTGCATTGAACCTGGGCATATGTTTACAATTAGAATGCACTGTGCCACACACATCTGTCATGCTCACTCGCAAGAAATCACTGAGTAAAGGGCTTGTGTACCAGTTATCAGTATATAATGTATGCCCTTTACCTAGATAAGGTGCCATTATGCTTCTCACTATGTCACCTGAGATACCCAATAACATCCTGGTACCTTTCAATGTTTTACTTCCTGTGTATACAACAATATCTAATACCAGGCCACTGTGCCTGCCTGCCTGCCTGCCTGCCTGCCAGCCAGCCAGCCAGCCAGCCAGCCAGCCAGCCAGCCAGCCAGCCAGCCAGCCAGCCAGCCAGCCAGCCAGCCAGCCAGCCAGCAGCCAGCCAGCCAGCCAGCCCAGCCAGCCAGCAGCCAGCCAGCCAGCCAGCCAGCCAGCCAGCCAGCCAGCCACCAGCCAGCCAGCCAGCCAGCCAGCCAGCCAGCCAGCCAGCCAGCCAGCCAGCCAGCCAGCCAGCCAGCCAGCCAGCCAGCCAGCCAGCCAGCCAGCCAGCCAGCCAGCCAGCCAGCCAGCCAGCCAGCCAGCCAGCCAGCCAGCCAGCCAGCCAGCCAGCCAGCCAGCCAGCCACCAGACCAGCCAGCCAGCCAGCCAGCCACCAGCCAGCACCAGCCAGCCAGCCAGCCAGCCAGCCAGCAGCCGCAGCCAGCCAGCCAGCCAGCCAGCCAGCCAGCCAGCCAGCCAGCCAGCCAGCCAGCCAGCCAGCCAGCCAGCCAGCCAGCCAGCCAGCCAGCCAGCCAGCCAGCCAGCCAGCAGCCAGCCAGCCAGCCAGCCAGCCAGCCAGCAGCCAGCCAGCCAGCCAGCCAGCCAGCCAGCCGAGCGCCAGCCAGCCAGCCAGCCAGCCAGCCAGCCAGCCAGCCAGCCAGCCCAGCCACCAGCCAGCCAGCCAGCCAGCCAGCCAGCCAGCCAGCCAAGCGCCAGCCAGCCAGCCAGCCAGCCAGCCAGCCGCCAGCAGCCAGCCAGCCAGCCAGCCAGCCAGCCAGCCCAGCCAGCCAGCCAGCCAGCCAGCCAGCCAGCCAGCCAGCAGCCAGCCAGCCACAGCCAGCCAGCCAGCCAGCCAGCCAGCCAGCCAGCCAGCCAGCCAGCCAGCCAGCCAGCACAGCCAGCCAGCCAGCCAGCCAGCCAGCCAGCCAGCCAGCCAGCCCAGCCAGCCAGCCAGCCAGCCAGCCAGCAGCCAGCCAGCCAGCCAGCCAGCCAGCCAGCCAGCCAGCCAGCCAGCCAGCCACCAGCCAGCCAGCCAGCCCCAGCCAGCCAGACCACCAGCCAGCCAGCCCAGCCAGCCAGCCACCAGCCAGCCAGCCAGCCAGCCAGCAGCCAGCCAGCCAGCAGCCAGAGCCAGCCAGCCAGCCCAGCCAGCCAGCCAGCCAGCCAGCCAGCCAGCCAGCCAGCCAGCCAGCCAGCAGCCAGCCAGCGCAGCCAGCCAGCCAGCCAGCCAGCCAGCCAGCCAGCCAGCCAGCCAGCCAGCCAGCCCAGCCAGCCAGCCCCAGCCAGCCAGCCAGCCAGCCAGCCAGCCAGCAGCCAGCAGCCAGCCACCAGCCAGCCAGCCACCAGCCAGCCAGCCAGCCCAGCCCAGCCAGCCAGCCAGCCAGCCAGCCAGCCAGCCAGCCAGCCAGCCAGCCAGCCAGCCAGCCAGCCAGCCACCAGCCAGCCAGCCAGCCAGCCCAGCCAGCCAGCCAGCCCCAGCCAGCCACCAGCCACCAGCCAGCCAGCCAGCCAGCCAGCCAGCCAGCCAGCCAGCAGCCAGCCAGCCAGCCAGCCAGCCAGGCCGAGCCAGCCAGCCAGCAGCCAGCCAGCCAGCCAGCCAGCCAGCCAGCCAGCCAGGCCAGCCAGCCAGCCAGCCAGCCAGCCAGCCAGCCAGCCAGCCAGCCAGCCAGCCAGCCAGCCAGCCAGCCAGCCAGCCAGCCAGCCAGCCAGCCAGCCAGCCAGCCAGCCAGCCAGCCAGCCAGCCAGCCAGCCAGCCAGCAGCCAGCCAGCCAGACCAGCCAGCCAGCCAGCCAGCCAGCCAGCCAGCCAGCCAGCCAGCCAGCCAGCCAGCCAGCCAGCCAGCCAGCCAGCCAGCCCCAGCCAGCCAGCCGCCAGCCAGCCAGCCAGCACCAGCCAGCCAGCAGCCAGCCAGCAGCCCAGCCAGCCAGCCAGCCAGCCAGCCAGCCAGCCCGCGCAGCCAGCCACCAGCCAGCCAGCGCAGCCAGCCAGCCAGCCAGCCAGCCCAGCCAGCCAGCCAGCCAGCCTGCCAGCCAGCCAGCCAGCCAGCCAGCCAGCCAGCCAGCCGCAGCCAGCCAGCCGCAGCCAGCCAGCCAGCCAGCCAGCCAGCCGCCAGCCAGCCAGCCAGCCAGCCAGCCGCCAGCCCAGCCCCAGCCAGCAGCCATGCCAGCCAGCCACCAGCCAGCCAGCCGCCAGCCATCCAGCGCCAGCCCAGCCTGCCAGCCAGCCAGCCAGCCAGCCAGCCAGCTCAGCCAGCCAGCCAGCCAGCCGCCAGCCAGCCAGCCAGCCAGCCGCCAGCAGCCTAGCCAGCCAGCTCCCATCCAGCCACCGCCAGCCTGCACACCGCCAGGCTGGCACACCAGCCACTCAGCCGCCAGCCGCCACAGCCTCCAGCCACCTGCCGCCAGCCGCCACACGCCGCAGCTCTGGCGTTAGCACCCCCGGCTCCACAGGGGTTCCGCATGCGGCATTCGGCCAGGCTCAGAGTGCCATCCAAGACAGAGCACATGGTGCAAGTGCAAAGGGTCCCTACCTAAAAAGTTCAAGTGTTTGGAAGTAAATTGATTTTTAAAATTAATCAAAACAAAAATAAATAATGAAATAAAATAAAATAAAAATTAATAAACCTAACCATAGATGGCAACACTCACACGCCTTGTTTACATCAGAACAGCTGTGTTTTCCCGCTAATGGGCGAGTATGGGAGATTCCTCTCCAATTTTCTGTAGTTTATATGATTTGATAGTCTTATGCATGATGAAATGATAACAATAATGGTCAGTGATTTATAAACGGAATAATAGTGCTGTAGTGGTTATGCTGAATATAATAGGTACATGATGTCACTACTTTAATAGCCTAATCTAGTAATACTATGCTGTCTTGAGTTTATTCTCTTTAAAATGCATGATTTAACAAGATAGTTATAATGGCTGTTGGTATATGGTTTTGGTTGTCTTGATGTACTTTCCCTATTAAATTTAATCTAAATAGCCAGAATGTATTTAATTAGACCTTAAACAGGCTCACACTGACCCCCCTACCCCCAAGCTGGAAGGGGTCGCTTCGCTTACCCGTAACTCAAAGGGGCCCCGCCAATCTGAATAGCCTAGGGCCCGGAGACTTCTTAATCCGGCCCTGCCCACCCCCCTTACTGCCTATCCCTACCACTCAGACTGCTGGAGAGTGAGGTATTCCTTACACTTGGCTTAGTTGCAAAGGTGCATTGAATTACCACTCCCACAATGCAATGCGGGTGCATAGATTTTTTTCCTACTGCGCACACTTACCACATAGACACTTTCTATCACATGTAGGCTTATCAGTTCTCTCCTGCTCAATTTGAAGGCACTAGAATTTATGCGTACTAGTACATCAATAACTCTGGCACGTTAGCCGTACTAGTACATTGGAAACCCTGAAAGGGTTAATGGTGGGGCTATCTAAAATTCAAGTAACAAGTTTAACTGTGCTTCTACAAACATACACTGATATTTTTTCGGATGTGCCAAAAAAATGTACAATAGGTTATAATGATGCAGATGTGGGAAACTCTAAACCTATTAAACTCTCACCCTACAGAGCTACTCCTGAAAAACAGAAGCTACTTCAGCAGGAGGTAGAATTTCTGTTAGAGCATGGGTTAGTGGAGGAGTCATCTGGTCTATGGGATTCACCGTGCATCCTCGTTAAAAAAGCTGATGGAGGCTTTTGCATGTGCACAGACTACCGTAAGGTGAACGAGGTCACAGTTACAGATGCTTACCCTCTTCCTCGTCTGGATGACGTAATCGACTTTGTGAGTAAGGCTACTTTTGTGTCCAAGTTAGATTTCATTAACCCTTTCAGGGTCGACAGGCCCTCTCAGAGACTTGTTCTCAGGGTCGGCCAAATTTAAAAAAAAAAAATTATTTTTTCTTATGAAAAGATAGAAAATCTTTTCCTGATCATAATGACACCAAAAGTATGAAATCTGATGGAAAACTTACGGAATTGTGCTCTTGCGAAGTTAGCGGTCTCGACGTTGTTTACGCATCGGCGATTTTGCCCACTTTGAGCCCTATTTTCGGCCAATTCCAGTGTACTTGTCGACAAAAATCATAACTATTTCACTAGAACCCCATTTTTTCTATCGAATGATTACAAGAAACCACCCATTTACCGTTTTCAAATATCCAATACAGTGGTCAGAATTTAGCAATTTTGTCAATTTCACACAAATTTCAAAAGATGCCAATTTCCGAATAGGGTCCAGAATAAACAAGAAAGACATTCCTGGCACTAAAATAACATTTCCTCTGTTCATTAGTCACGTCCCCACGCCCCTCTTACATTCTTTTGCTTTCCACTTTGAATTTTTATTCTCACAAAAAATAGAAGATTTACTGTTATGCAGACTACTGCATTAGTGTAGAAATGGTATAAATAATGTCAGCACATTTGTGAAAGAATATTAGACTCACCAGTTGACATGTATTGGATGCATAGCATGATTTGTTTACTTTTGAACTTGGTAAAAATCGAACATTTCTGCTACTTTGAGCTCAATTTCCAGGTACTTTTCATTGCAAAACCAGTCAAAATCATCTCAATTTCTGTAATATGTCTTCCATTCTATAAAATGAGACCAGGAAAACTAGAATACAACAATAAATACCATACAAAAATACAGTGCAAAGTCGGTTTTAATAAAAAAAACACGGTCAAAGTTTTTTTTTCTCGTTACGCACTGTGTGGTGCACGAATTTTTTTATACCACGCACACTGACCACATAGACCCATTCTTTCATATGTAGGCCTACCAGCTTTCTCTCACTAGATTTGAGGGCGCTAGAATTTAGGCGTACTAGTACGTCAAAAACAATCGTGTGTAAGCCATACTAGTACGGCTGAAACCCTGAAAGGGTTAAAGGTTACTATCAGGTACCTTTGACAGATAAGGTGAAGAAAATCTCTGCCTTCATAATTCCAGGAGGTCATTATCAATGTACAGTTACCCCCTTCGGAATGAAAAATTCTCCTTCTTCATTCCAGAAACTTATACAACAGGCTATTAACCCTTTGACTGTCGCAACCCCAAATCCTGAAGTGTCTCCTGGTGTCAAAGAATTTAAAAAAAAAAAATTCTTATGAAAATGTTAAGATTAATTTTCTGATTGTTTTAAGCCCAAAAAACTTTTTTGTGATCAGTACTTACCGAGATATAAAGGTGTAAAATTGGCAGAAAATGAGCTATGTATGGCAACAGCGGCAAATGCCGCTCATCCAGTAAACTTTGGTTTACTTGCATTCCAAGGTTTCTTGTTTTTTTTTTTTTCACTATTTTATTTTTTCAGGTAACTTATGCGGCCTGTGAGTCCAATGTACGTTTATACACTCATTGTATACAACACAATAAGCACACAAACATAATTATCAATATATTGTTTACAAAACTTGTTTACACAAACAATACAAAAAATTGCTTGTTACTACTGCTTTATAATATATATACAAATGTACAGTCAATGGACATGTTCCTAGAAGTTCTGCAGCTTGTGGAACTCTTTGAAACATAGTTTCATACACAGTGGTGTTTTACACTCCTCACACATAAAACGAGTGTGTCTGCATTTTTGTGGGTGTTTTTTTTATATGCAAAGACAAAACACTTCATCTGAGCAGTTTTCTTCAAAATATTAGCAGGCAGTTGTGTTTGGTAGTTATCCTAGGTATATGGTCACGTGTCATCATTTCTTCCTTCCTACCTTCCTGCATTCCTTTCCTACCTTCCTTCCTACATTCCTTCCCTCCTACATTCCTTCCCTCCTTCTTCTTTCCTTCGTTACTTTTCTCCTTCCGTCCTTTCATCTCGTCCTTCCTTCCTTCCTGCCTTCCTTCCCTTCTTCCTTCCTTCTGGTTTCTATAATATATATACACATATATAGTCACTGGATACTGTCATATAACTGCTATTATCTTCAAGCTTGTGTTGTGCGTGTGTGTGTGTGTGTTATTTATTTTTTTTTATTTATTATCACACTGGCTGATTCCCACCAAGGCAGGGTGGCCCGAAAAAGAAAAACTTTCACCATCATTCACTCCATCACTGTCTTGCCAGAAGGGTGCTTTACACTACAGTTTTTAAACTGCAACATTAACACCCCTCCTTCAGAGTGCAGGCACTGTACTTCCCATCTCCAGGACTCAAGTCCGGCCTGCCGGTTTCCCTGAACCCCTTCATAAATGTTACTTTGCTCACACTCCAACAGCACGTCAAGTATTAAAAACCATTCGTCTCCATTCACTCCTATCAAACACGCTCATGCATACCTGCTGGAAGTCCAAGCCCCTCGCACACAAAACCTCCTTTACCCCCTCTCTCCAACCTTTCCTAGGCCGACCCCTACCCCGCCTTCCTTCCACTACAGACTGATACACTCTTGAAGTCATTCTGTTTCGCTCCATTCTCTCTACATGTCCGAACCACCTCAACAACCCTTCCTCAGCCCTCTGGACAACAGTTTTGGTAATCCCGCACCTCCTCCTAACTTCCAAACTACGAATTCTCTGCATTATATTCACACCACACATTGCCCTCAGACATGACATCTCCACTGCCTCCAGCCTTCTCCTCGCTGCAACATTCATCACCCATGCTTCACACCCATATAAGAGCGTTGGTAAAACTATACTCTCATACATTCCCCTCTTTGCCTCCAAGGACAAAGTTCTTTGTCTCCACAGACTCCTAAGTGCACCACTCACTCTTTTTCCCTCATCAATTCTATGATTCACCTCATCTTTCATAGACCCATCCGCTGACACGTCCACTCCCAAATATCTGAATACATTCACCTCCTTCATACTCCTCCCTCCAATCTGATATTCAATCTTTCATCACCTAATCTTTTTGTTATCCTCATAACCTTACTCTTTCCTGTATTCACCTTTAATTTTCTTCTTTGCACACCCTACCAAATTCATCCACCAATCTCTGCAACTTCTCTTCAGAATCTCCCAAGAGCACAGTGTCATCAGCAAAGAGCAGCTGTGACAACTCCCACTTGTGAGTGATTCTTTATCTTTTAACTCCACACCTCTGTCAAGACCCTCGCATTTACTTCTCTTACAACCCCATCTATAAATATATTAAACAACCACGGTGACATCACACATCCTTGTCTAAGGCCTACTTTTACTGGGAAATAATTTCCCTCTTTCCTACATACTCTAACTTGAGCCTCACTATCCTCGTAAAAACTCTTCACTGCTTTCAGTAACCTACCTCCTACACCATACACTTGCAACATCTGCCACATTGCCCCCATATCCACCCTGTCATACGCCTTTTCCAAATCCATAAATGCCACAAAGACCTCTTTAACCTTATCTAAATACTGTTCACTTATATGTTTCACTGTAAACACCTGGTCCACACACCCCCTACCTTTCCTAAAGCCTCCTTGTGTGTGTGTGTGGACTTCTAATTGTTCTGAGTCAGGGTTGGTAGCTGTCAAAATGACATATTGTCTCATTACTCACTCCCCCTACTGCCTGTCAAAACAATGGGGTTGGATGCTCGCTTCCCCTCCATTCTACTACCTAGTTATCTTTCTCCCTCATTCTCGCTCATTCTCTCTCTCATTCTCCTTCATTCTCCATTCTTCTGGTATCCTGGGCATTGCTTTTGGTCACAAACTCCTCAAAAATCATGAAACTGATCTTCACTGACACTTCCATCTGTATTAGAGCATCACTTGGGAAGAGTAGAGTCCCAGATTTGCCGGGGAGTCACATATTTCTTACTGCTAGGCATGCTGAACAAGGACTACTGAAATGGCATTCCCACAATGCACCACTGGCTTCCCGACTTTTTTTATATGGTGCACACTGACCATGAAGACCATTGTCTCACATGTGGGCCTACCAGCTTTCTCCTGCTTGATTTGAAGCCGCTAGAATTTATGAGTATATGTACATCAAACACATTGGCTCGTAAGACGTATATATACGACCGAAACAGTCAAAGGGTTAAGCTTAAACAGGTGTTGATCCCATGTATCAGACACCACCACAATGTCATCTAGGTAAGCTGCCGTGCCTTCAAGTCCTTTAACCCTTTGACTGTTTCGGTCATATATATACGCTTTACGAGCCACCGTGTTTGATGTATTAATGTGCATAAATTCTAGCGGCTTCAAATCAAGCAGGAGAAAGCTGGTAGGCCCACATGTGAGAGAATGGGTCTGTGTGGTCAGTGTGCACCATATAAAAAAAATCCTGCAGCACGCAGTGCATGAGAAAAAAAAAACTCTAACCATTTTTTTAATTAAAATGCCGACTTTGTGGTCTATTTTTGTATAGTATTTATGGTTGTATTCTCGTTTTCTTGGTCTCATTTGATAAAATGGAAAACATATTATAGAAACAGAGGTGAATTTGATTGGTTTTACCATGAAAAGAACCTTGAAATGGAGCTCAAATTAGGGGAAATGTTTGATTTTTGCCGATGTTCAAAAGAAAACAAATGATGTCATTTTCCAATAAATGTCCAAGTAGCCATTCTAATATGCAGTCATGAATGGGTGGACATTATTTATACAATTATTACAATATTGCAGTAGTCTGCATAACAGTAAATCTTCTATTTTTTGTTTAAATAAAAATTCAAAATAGAAAGCAAGAGTAATATCAGAAGGGCCTGGAGATGTGACTGATGAACAAAGAAAATGTTATTTTAGAGCCAGGAATGTCTGCATTGTTCATTCTGGACCCTATTTTGAAACTGTCATATTTTTTAATTTTCGTGAAATTGGCCAAATTGCAAATTTCTGACCACGTTATTGGGTAGTTGAAATCGATAAATGGGCAGTTTCTTTTGCTCAATCAATAGAAAAAACGGAGTTCTAGAGAAATAGCTATGACTTTGGTCGACTGGAGCAATGGAATTAGCCGAAAGTAGGGCTCAAACTGGGCGAAATTGCCGATTTGTAAATATCGCCGAGGTCGCTAACTTTGCAAGAGCATAATTCCGTCAGTTTTTCCATCAAATTTTATTCTTTTGCTGTCATTACAATCAGGAAAAGATTCTCTATCATTTCACAAGAAAAAATCTTTTTTTTTTTTTTTTTCAGAAATTTTGCGACACCAAGAGACACCTCAGGATTTGGGGTTGCGACAGTCAAGGGGTTAAGGCTCTCTTTGAGACCTTCCAGAATTCCCATTTAAATGTTAACCTATCTAAGTCTTCCTTTGGCCAGGCTAATGTTACTTTTCTGGGCCATGAAGTAGGTAGTGGCAAAGTTGCCCCTAAATTTGCTAACACTCTTGCCATTGAAGATTATCCAATTCCCCATGATAGGAAATCTCTTTAATGTTTCCTAGGTATGATAGGGTTTTACAGAAGATTCTGTAAAAAATTTTCAGATATTGAAGTCCCTCTTACCTCTCTTATCAGTCACAAAGTTCCCTTTAATTGAACCCCAGAATGTCAAAATGCTTTTACAAAAGAAAAAGGATTATTGTGTACTGCACCCATTCTTTTGTCTGGCCAGGCTTAGGCTTGGTAACAAGTACTTCTGGCAGTTTGGGAGACACACAGATGATGATCAAACTAAATGAAAATTATGTGATCAGGCATATGGTCACTGTCTTGAACACTATGTGCTTAATTGTCCACTTATTGAGGAATACAGAGATAGACATTATAATAACCTATGTGACATGTCAAGATATTAATGAAAATAAGATACCAGATATACTAAGCAAATTTCCTAAATTTGCTTGTAACAGATAATTGAACTATAGATATGTTGATCTACAGTGGAACCTCAAAAATCGAACGTATCACATATCGAACGTTTCAAAAATAGGACCATTTTTTCGGACAAACTGTTCCTATTATCGAATGCGCCCCTATTTTCGGACCGCCGGGTACGGGACCTGTCTGCCGGCCCGCTCTGTCCGTGTCCCCGCGCAGGCGCTGTGAGCAGTCTAGTTTTGTTTATGCTTGAGTGAACACTTACCTGCGCTCTCATTCACGCATTTTACGATGATTTCGTTGTGTTTAGTGCTTGTGGGACTGTGAAATAAGCTGTCATGGGCCCAAAGAAACTTGCTAGTGGTACCCCTGTGGTAAAGAAAGTGAGAAACACCATAGATGTGAAGAAGGAAATAATACAGAAGTATAAGAGTGGTGTGAGACTTGTTAAGCTTGCCAGGATGTATGGGAAAAACAAGTCGACCATCGGTTCTATCCTGTCAAAGAAAGAACAAATCAAGGAAGCTGATGTTGCGAAAGGTGTTAATATAGGGAGTGGATGAGGTGCCTTCTTCAAAGATTAAGGAGACTTGTGCCAATTGGAATGATGTCCAAATGTTTGTGCAGAAGTACCACCCTGAGCAAGCTGAAACAAGCCATCTTTGCAACAAGTTCAGTGACAGAACCATGTCCCATTTTAGGGAAATGTTAAAGAGGAACCAGAAACAGAGGACTGTGGACAGTTATTTTGTGAGACAGGGGTCCAGTGACTCTCAAGCTGGTCCTAGTGGCATTAAAAGACAGAGAAGGGGAGTAACCCCAGAGAGAGCTTTACCTGAAGTCCTCATGGAGGGAGATTCTCCTTCCAAACACTAACCCCAACTCCCTCTCTCCTCCTCCCTATCTTCCAGATGCCATCACCAATCTTCAATAAAGGTAAGTAAAAATGTTATTTTATATATATTACTATACATAATTAAAAACTATAGTGTTTGTTGTATGTAAAACTGTAATTAATCTCTATAAAATGTATTTTTTGTGTGAATATTTTTGGGTTTCTGGAATGGATTAATTGTATTTCCATTATTTCTTATGGGAAATATTGCTTCGAATTTCAGACTTTTCGAATTTAGAACTAGCTCCTGGAACGGATTAAGTTCAATTTTTGAGGTTCCACTGTAAATCCATATGTATTCCTGTTAACCCATTGGGGTCTAGTTCCTCGGCGTTTTGTGTATCCATATGCTCTTGTGCTGCCGTCCACAGGATGGATATGGGTTGCACAATAAACTAGCCACTTCGGTGGCAAAATCTCTCTTTTGTCTCCAGACTTCTCCAAACCTTTCTCCTTACAGGTTGATGCTTGTGAGTCTGGGGTTGGGGCAGTACTGTTGCAAAACAGGGACGAGGGGTTGCAGCCTGTGGCCTTCTTCTCAGCGAAGTTCCAGCCACACCAGAGAGCCTACTCAACAACTGAAAAAGAAGCCCTCATGCTGGTATTGGCCTTGGAGCATTTCGATATATTTGTGGGCCAGACTTTGCAGGTGGTCACAGTCTACATTGGCCACAACCCTCTAATTTATCTTCAAAACATGAAGAATCACAACACAAGAATTATGAGGTGGTCACTTAGGCTGCAACCATATAATATCAGGGTAAAACATATCCCTGGTAAAGAAAACAAGTTGCAGACACATTGTCCAGATCTTAGATTTTATATGTATTAGGTTAGGATGTGTTAGGGACCTGTGGTAACCGGTTTCTAGCTTTTTTTTTACTCCTTTATATATGTTGGGACGTTTTTTTTTTTTTTTTAGTGAGGGGGTGCGGGCTACCATCTGCCTGTACCTTGGACCTATGTTAGCCCTACTGTCTGCTGTCTCACTCTAAGTTTAGGGTTTGGCTTTATGTCGCGAATAAAGCTGAGCTCTATCTAAAAGTTGGATGGTTCAGAGGAAAGGCGGTCCCATTATATGGTGCCATTGTGGCACGGTTACCAGTGGGAGGTGGGAGCCTATTCCTGAGCCCTCTTGGGGTAGGGGTGTGGAACGCAAAGAGTACGTAATTTTTATTCGGCGCATGTACACACCCTCATTGAAAGGCAACCAGCAAACCAGTACTAGGGTTGAATGATAGTGCCCCATCATTCGATCAGTACCCAGGTTCAGCCAATGAGAAGATGGTTCTGGAAATCACAGAGGTGTTGTGGGAACCGCCCGCCTGTCTGCCCTTGTCATTTCCATACTAGAGCTGGTTGAGCACGGTTGTCCATTCTGTCTCCAGGCTGTGTTTTGGCCTTGCCTAAACCATGTTGTACACACATTTTCCAACTGTATATAGTGTAAATATCCACATTGCTTTTGGTGAAGGAAAATATATTTCTAAGTCATTTAGCTGTGTTTGTTCTGCTCCTTGCTCCCCTTTACACCCAGGATAACAGGTCTTATTGTCCCTGGGTTGTAATACCTGCCCTTCCTGCTGTGGCCTGTCCTGCCCTTCCTACTGTGGCCTCTCCTGCCCTTCCTGCTGTGGCCTGTCATGCCCTTCTTGCTGTGGTCTTTCCTGCCTGCTCTGGCCTGCCCTATCCTGTCTGCTCTGGTTTGTTCTGCCCTGCCTGCTCTGGTCTGTCCTGCCCTGCCTGCTCTGACCTGTCCTGCCTGCCCTGCCTCCTCTGCCAATTATTCTGGAGATTTCAAGCTTGTTTCATGGTTATTTACCACTCAGAAAACCCCAGTGTTTAACCCCTTGACTGTCGCAATCCGAAACCCTGAGGTGTCTCTTGGTTTCGCAAAATTTTGAAAAAAAAAAAGTATTTTTTCTTATGAAATGATAGAGAATCTTTTCCCGATTGTAATAACACCAAAAGAACAAAATTTGATGGAAAACTGATGGAATTATGCTCTCTTGAAGTTAGCGACCTCGGCAACATTTACGAATTGGCGATTTCGCCCACTTTGAGCCCTATTTTTGGCTAATTCCATTGTTCCAGTCGACCAAGCTCATAGCTATTTCTTTAGAACTTTATTTTTTCTATCGATTGTGTACAAGAAACTGCCCATTTACCAACTTCAACTACCCAATAACGTGGTCAGAAATTTGCAATTTGGCTAATTTCAGGAAAATAAAAAAACATGACAATTTCAAAATAAGGTCCAGAATGAACAATGCAGACATTCCTGGCTCTAAAATAACATTTTTTTATTCATCAGTCACGTCACGTCTCCAGGCCCCTCTGATATTACTCTTGCTTTCTATTTTGAATTTTTATTCAAGCAAAAAATAGAAGATTTACTGTTATGCAGACTACTGCAATATTGTAATAATTGTATAAATAATGTCAACCCCTTCATGACTGCATATTAGAATGGCTACTTGGACATTTATTGGAAAATGACATCATTTGTTTACTTTTGAACATCGGCAAAAATCAAACATTTCCCCTACTTTGAGCTCCATTTCAAGATTCTTTTCATAGTAAAACCAATCAAAATCACCTCTGTTTCTATAACATGTTTTTCATTCTATCAAATGAGACCAAGAAAACGAGAATGCAACCATAAATACTATATGAAAATAGACCACAAATTTGGCATTTTAATTAAAAAAAAAAGGTCAGAGTTTTTTTTCTCATTATGCACTGCGTGCTGCAGGATTTTTTTGATATGGTGCACACTGACTACAAAGACCCATTCTCTCACATGCGGGTCTATCAGCTTTCCCCTGCTTGATTGAAGCTGCTAGAATTTATGAGTATATATACGTCAAAAATGGTGGCTCGTATGACGTACAGTGGACCCCCAGTATTTGATGGCATCGGTATTCGATAAATCTGGTATTCGATGCATTATATCGCAAAAATTTTGCCTCGGTATCCGATCGAAAACCCAGTATTTGATGCGATTCATACGAAACATGTCCACGTGGGGCCTGAACTGCCCCATGTGTGCCAGTGTTTACAAGCCAGCTAGTGTGCGCGCATCTAAGGATACATTCGGTACATTCCACATTATCACTGTTTTTGGAGCTTGTTTCTGCAAAGTAAGTCACCATGGGCCCCAAGAAAGCTTCTAGTGCCAACCCTTCGAGAAAAAAGGTGCTAATGACTATTTAAATGAAGAAAGAGATACGTAATTGCAAAGTACGAAAGTGGAGTGCGTGTGTCGGAGCTGGTCAGGTTGTATAGTAAACCCCAATCAATCATCTCTACTATAGTGACCAGGAAAACGGCAATCAAGGAAGCTGTTCTTGCAAAAGGTGCAACTGTGATTACGAAACAGCGACCGCAAGTGTTAGAAAATGTTGAGAGACTGTTATTGGTGTGGATAAATGAAAAACAGATAGCAGGAGATAGCATCTCTCAAGCGATCATTTGTGAAAAGGCTAGGCAGTTGCATGACGATTTGGTAAAGAAACTGCCTGCAACTAGTGCTGATGTGAGTAAATTTAAGGCCAGCAAAGGTTGGTTTGAAAGATTTAAGAATTGTAGTGGCATACACAGTGTGATTAGGCATGGTGAGGCTGCCAGTTCGGACCAAAAAGCAGCTGAAAAATATGAGAAGGAATTCAAGGATTACATAGACAGTGAAGACTTGAAACCTGAACAAGTGTTTAATTGCGATGAAACAGGCCTGTTTTGGAAGAAAATGCCAAGCAGGACCTACATTACTCAGGAGGAAAAGGCACTCCCAGGACATAAGCCTATGAAAGACAGGCTTACTCTCTTGATGTGTGCCAATGCTAGTGGTGATTGCAAAGTGAAGCCTTTATTGGTGTATCACTCTGAAACTCCCAGAGTGTTCAGGAAAAACAATGTCATCAAGGCTAATTTGTGTGTGCTGTGGAGGGCAAACAGTAAGGCATGGGTCAATAGGGACTTTTTCTATGACTGGTTACACTGTGCATTTGCCCCCACTGTGAAAAATTACCTAATTGAAAAGAAATTAGACCTTAAGTGCCTCCTGGTATTAGACAATGCCCCTGGTCATCCTACAGAATTGGCAAAGCGGCTTTCTGGGGACATGAGCTTCATTAAGGTCAAGTTTTTGCCTCCTAATACAACTCCTCTCCTGCAGCCCATGGACCAGCAGGTCATTTCCAACTTCCAGAAACTGTACACAAAAGCTATGTTTCAAAAGTGCTTTGTAGTGACCACAGAAACTCAACTGACTCTAAAAGAATTTTGGAAGGATCACTTTAATATCCTCAATTGTATAAACCTTATAGGTATGGCTTGGGAGGGAGTGACAAAGAGGACCTTGAACTCTGCTTGGAAAAAACTGTGGCCAGAATGTGTAGACAAAAGGGATTTTGAAGGATTTGAGGCTAACCCTGAGAAGCCTATGCCAGTTGAGGAATCCATTGTGGCATTGGGGAAGCCCTTGGGGTTGGAGGTTAGTGGGGAGGATGTGGAAGAGTTGGTGGAGGAGGACAATGATGAACTAACCACTAGATCATCTTCAACAGCAAGAGGCCAGACCTGAGGAAACTGCTTTGGAGGAGGGGATAAATTGAAGAAGTTGCCTACTTCAAAGATAAAGGAAATGTGTGCAATGTGGCTTAAAGTGCAAACCTTTTTTGATGACAATCACCCTAACACAGCTATTGCAAGCCATGCTGGTGACTATTACACTGACAATGTTGTGAAACACTTCAGGAATGTCATAAAGGAATGGGAGGTACAGGCCACTAAGGACAGATATGTTGTGTGACAGAAGTCCAGTGACTCTCAAGCTGGTCCTAGTGGCATTAAAAGAAGAAGGGAAGTAACCCCAGAAAAGGACTTGCTACCTCAAGTCCTAATGGAAGGGGATTCCCCTTCTAAACACTAACACCTCTCCCCTCCTCCCATCCCATCAATCATCACTAGATCTTCATTAAAGGTAAGTGTCAATTATTCTATTGTTATTGTTGTTATTGTAATTATTCTATTGCATTAAACTTAATATTTCATATGGTAAAATTTTTTTTTTCATACTTTTGGGTGTCTTGCACGAATTAATTTGATTTCCATTATTTCTTACGAGGAAAATTGATTCGCTTTTCGATATTTTTGGTATTCGATGAGCTCTCAGGAACGGATTAATATCGAATACCACGGGTCCACTGTATATATACGACCGAAACAATCAAAGGGTTAAACAACAAAAAGTATCCAAGAACAGGTTGGGTGTTCTGGTGTCTTGGTACAAATTAACATAAAGCTACGTATTTTGGGGTTTGAGTTACAATAATTTTGAAATATGATACATCTTCTGGAAAGTATTAATGCAGCTTGAGGGACCACTGTACTACATACTCTATTTGTTAAAATAATATTAAATTTTGAAAGAGATGGTCTCTCACCTGTGTGTATAGGATATTTCCCAGTCATGAGGGCACTTCTTGAGGGTGTGCATATTGGCTGGACATAGTAGTTGTTCAAGATGATTCCTGAATAAGCTAGAGCATCAATATTAGGAGTTGGAATTTGAGTAGAGCCATGAAACCCCACATCATTGAAGCCCTGAAAATATTAAAAATAAGTAGGAGAATTTAAGCAAATGATAATGCAAAATCAAAAACACAACTGAGAAAAAAGGATTTGACAAAATAAATGTGGGATTACACTATACCCTCAGAGACCTGTTCTGGAAAAATGATTGTGAAAAGGCTGAGACTCCTTAACCCTTTGACTGTTTCAGGCCCCTCTCTGAAACTGTCGTTCTATGTCGCCAAATATTCAAAAAAAAAAAAAAATTATTTTTTCTTATGAAAATGTTAAGATTATTTTTCTGAGTGTTTTAGTCCAAAAAAAAAATTTTTGCCATCGGTACTTACCGAGATATAGAGCCGTGAAGTTTGCAGAAAATGAGCCGCGTATGGCAACAGCGGCGACTGCCGCTCACCCGGTAAACTTTAGTTTACTTGTAATTGAAGGTTTTTTGTTTTTTTCACTATTTTATTTTTTCACATAACTTATGTGGCCTGTGAGACCAAAGTAAGGTGCAATGTACATATATACACTCATTGTATACAACACAATAAGCAAACAAACATAATTATCAATATATTGTTTACAAAACTTGTTTACAAAAACAAACAAACAATCATCCTCCTCCTCCTTCTCCTCCTCCTCCTCCTCCTCCTCCTCCTTCTCCTCCTTCTCCTTCTCCTTCTCCTCCTTCTCCTTCTCCTCCTTCTCCTCCTCCTTCTCCTCCTCCTTCTCCTCCTCCTCCTCCTCCTCCTCCTTCTCCTCCTCCTTCTCCTCCTCCTTCTCCTCCTCCTCCTTCTCTCCTCCTTCTCCTCCTCCTCTTGTCTTGTGTGCGAGTGTGTGGCTTATAATTGTTTTGAGTCAGGAGTCGGCAGCTGTCAAAATGACATATTGTCTCATTACTCACTCCCCCTCCCGCCTGTCAAAACAATGGGGTCGGATGCTGCTTCCCCTCCTCCATTCTATCTAATTATCTTTCTCCCTCATTCTATATCTTTCAATCTGTCTCTCTTTCTATCTGTCTGCCTATCTCTGTCTCACAGGTACACATAAATACAAGTATACATAGTGTAAATTACCTAGGATAACCCAAGAAATCTAGACAAAGTGCTATACTCTGCTTGAAGATGTGAGTAAACGTGATGACACAGTCTTGTGGCTCTCTCTGAGACAGAGAGCTAGATGGACAGACAGGGAGCTTGACAGACAGACAAATAGACAGACAGAAATGTTTGTGTACCAGCAAAAACAAAGGGAGGGCGATGGTCATGTAATATTTCCTTATCAGCTCTACCCTCGTTTACGCTCATCAAAGTCAGCTCTTATCAGATGTTATCTCCCCTTATCTTGTCACTGTCATGGGGTGGACTATTTTTTTTCTTGCTTCAAGGGAACAATATTATTACATCTTCTTCTTCTTCTTCCTCCTCCTCCTCCTCCTCTTCTCCTCCTCCTCCTCCTCCTCCTCCTCTTCCTCCCCTCCTCCTCCTTCTCCTCCTCCTCCTCCTCCTCTTCCTCCCCTCCTCCTCCTCCATTGCTTTTGGTCTCAAACTCCTCCAAATCATGAAATTGATCTTCACTGACACTTCCATCTGTGTTAGAGCATCACTTAGGAAGAGAAGAGTCCCAGATTTGCTGGGGAATCACATATTTCTTACCGCTAGACATGCTGAAAAAGGACAACTGAAATGGCATTCCCACAATGCACCACTGGCTCCCCGATTTTTTTTATATGATGCACACTGACCATGGAGACCCATTCTCTCACATGTGGGCCTACCAGCTTTCTCCTGCTTGATTTGAAGCTGCTAGAATTTATGCGTATAAATACGTCAGAAACATTGGCTCGTAAGACGTATTTATACGTCGGAAACAGTCAAAGGGTTAATTTATGAAGCTGCAATTGTAAATAATTGATATACAGTAGGGCCACGCTTTATGGCATTTTGCTTTACAGCGTTCCGCTAATAAGGTCATTTCAAATTATGACCAAAACTCTCTATACGGCTCCCCCCACCTGACTTTCTAATATGGTCAATGTGCCCCACAACGTCTGTTTACATTCTATGTGAGATCCGTAGGCACTAAGTCTCTCCATTATGTCTGTAAACTCCAAAATTTCAAATGTTTTTAAAAGTTATTTCATATTTTATTATTATTATAATCAAAAAGAAGATTTCATATTTTATATATACATACTCTGATAATTATACTTATGTATACCTGTACCTAAATAAACTTACATACTGTGCTGGCGTGCAGGTACACATTAAAATCAGTGTGTCTTATGTCTCGAGACATCATATTAGTAATGATAATAATAATCACCAAGTCTCATTAAATGTCGTATATTACGTTAACCCTTTCAGGGTCCGTCCCGTAGATCTACGGCTTTACGTTCAGGGTCCAAACTGTAGATCTACGTCATGAGCTCAGCTCACTCTGATAAACTGTGAGTGGTAAATTTGGGCCTAGATATGAGAGAATACATCTATGTGGTATGTGTGCACCACATAAAACAAAACCTGCAGCACACTGTGTATAATGAGAGAAAAAAACTGAGACCGTGATTTTCGATTAAAACAGCGACTTTGCAGCGTTTTTTCGTATGATTTTTATAGTTGTATTTGTGATTTCTTGGTCTCATTTGATAGAATGGAAGACATATCACAGAAATAGAGATAATTTTGATTGGTGTTAGCACTGGAAATGGCTTAAAACTGAGCTCAAAGTGGCAGAAATGTTAAATTTTTGCCAATGTTCAAGAGTAAACAAACGACCTCACACGTCTTATACACGCCAGCTGGTGGGTCTAATATACATTCACAAATGTGGTGATGATATTTATACAATTATTACAATATTGCATAACAGTAAATCTTCTATTTTTTGGTGTGAATAAAAATTCATTATATGAATAAAAATTCAAAATGGAATTTATTTGTAAAGCCTCAAAACATAACTAATGAACAGAGGAAATGTTAGTTTAGTGCCAGGAATACCTACATTGTTTATTCTGGACCCTATTTTGAAATTGGAATATTTTGAACTTTGTGTTAAATTGGCCAAATTACCAATTTCCGGTCACTTTATTTTGTTGTTGAAATGGTTGACTTGGCGATTTCTTGTGCTCAATCGATAGAATAGAAGTAATACTAGTGAAATAGCTAAGAATTTGGTCGACTGGAATAATGTAATTGGCCTAAAATGGGAGTCAAAGTCGGCAAAATCGCCGATTCGTAAATATCGCTGATACATCAAAATTCGCGAGAGCATAATTTCATCAATTTTCCATCAAATTTCGTACTTTTTGGTTTATTACCTTCACAAAAAGATTCTCTACCATTTCATAAGAAAAAATAAAAATTTTTTTTTTTTGAAAATTCTTGGACACTGGGGCACCACTTCAGATTTTGGCCTTGGACCCTGAAAGGGTTAATATACATAGTTTCATTAATCCATCTATGATATTTTTCAAAATTATATAATAAACACGATGCATAACATATAAAGATGATAAATACACCCCACAGTAGAATAAGTAAATATAAATATGAGATGTGGTAGCAGATGACTTGCACAACTGACGCCATATTAGAAATGATAATAATAATAATAATAATAATAATCACCGAGTCTCATTAAATGTCGCATATTACGTTAATATACACATTTTCATTAATCCATCCATGATATTTTTTCAAAATTATATAATAAACATGATACATAACATATAAAGATGATAAATACACCGCACAGTAGAATAAATAAACAAATATGAGATGTGGGAACCAGACTTTTACGAGTGACGGCAAGAATAACATTTTCTCTACTCCAACATCAGAGAAAATGAGTTACTGGGGGTAACTGTAGAAAATTATTCCTTTTATATGTATGTAAGTTTATTCAGGTATACACAAATACAGTTACATAGATTATCATACATAACAGCATATGTGTAGAGAACCTAGGATAACCCAAAAAAGTCAGAGTGACTTATTTCCATTGCCTTCACTCAGAGCGTCATTTCTTCTAAAAATGGTGTTACATGAGAATGGGGTTGTTCTTCTTTATTTATTCTACCGTATCAATGTAGAGACAACTTGTACACAATGTAACTTGTACACAAACCAGACGTGTACACTGTTTACAAAACTTACGTTCGCCTGGTTTGTTTACATAACTCTGCGCCTGTCCTCCCTCATGTACTCATTCTCTCTCTCTCTCTCTCATTTATTCGTTTTATCTCGTTTACTCACCTCTGACCCTACATTAAGACTACAAATATTTTAAGGTAAGTAATGAGTGAACTGTATATGCATTTTTTCGCTCTGGGATGCTTAAATATCATAGAATAGTATGTGTGGGTGGGTTGGCCAGGTATGGTAGCCCGGCTGACTACCGTACATACCACACTTGATTTCTTACAATGAATACTACTCATCTCCCTAGATTAAGACTACAAATATTTTAAGGCAAGTAAGTGCTTCAGGTCGGGATTTATATCAGAATTGATTACAGTATTCTGTAAATGTAGGTGGCACAGTAGTCCGTGAGTGTTTTGTATACTGAGTAGGTTCAGGACTTTGAAAAGTGTGTGTGTGTGTTGGGGGTGGGGGGTGGGGGTTGTCTAGCTGTGGATTGTGTGATCATTTGCACTGCATCTTTTTGCTGGGATATTATTGGTTTTAGGTGATTTGTCATTGTGGATCCCCAGGCACAAAAAGCATAGGTAAGGTAGGGGTATATCAGTGAAAAGTATATATAAGTAGTGCTGTCTGTGGTACATAGTACATATCTTTGAGAGGATGCCAACTATTTTAGATACTCTTTTTGTTATGTGTTGGATATGGGTATTGAATTTCAGGTTGCTGTCAAGGTGTAGACCCAGGAACTTTCCCTCGTTATGTTTAGCAATAAAGATGTTATTAAGCATAATGTTTAGTTGGACCTCACTTGCTCTACTTCCAGACATAATGCAAAAGGTTTTGTCTATACAGCCTATCCTCACTTAGCGACAAACACGTTTACTG